TTATTTTTTTTAGTTTATTTTAAACTTACTATTTTTATTTATTTTCTTATTTACTTTATTTTTCTATTTTAACTTTTTTAGTTTATTTTAAATTTACTATTTTTATTTATTTTTTTATTTACTTAGTTTTTATTTTAATGTCTTGTTTGATCAAGTGTTTTGTTAAAGTCAACTTGGACCTAATGTTACCACATATTTCGCATGTTTGTGCCGCGCGCTACTGCGCAATCCCACGTTCTGCGATCGCTGACGCTACGGGGAGGAGGATGGGTCCCGCTGTTGCGTAGTAGGTAAAGTCGTACGGTAGTGTGCGGAAGGTGACGCGTGTTCGTGAACGGCTCGTCCGAGGAAACGGCATGATGATCAGCGATACCGGTTCACGTTTGTACGTGTGGCGCACGGCCGTGATTGTGATTGGCGAACTTAGAACTAAGTGTATCAGTAGTGACAATGCGTTGTGATCTTAGTTGTCGTCGTACGAAAAAGTCGAGGTCGTCGTCGTCGCCGTCGTCGCCGTCGTCGTCGTCGCCGACGTCGCCGACGTCGTCGTTGCCGCCGTCGTCGTCGTCGTCGTTGTCGTCGTTGTTGTCGTCATCGTCGTCATCGTCGTCATCGTCGGGTGCACGTTGTCATAGCTTACCTCGGTATTCGACACCGGTATCCCGACACGGTCCATCGTGGAATGGCAGCGGCCCTAAAGAAAAATCACTCACGTAGAAGATTGGCCGCCCTTACATTCCTATCCAACATCTCCCTTGACGGCAGTCACCGGGACACCAAGTTCGCCGTCCTGTCACGCGGCGCAGGATCGACACACACGCGCAGATTTAGCGATGGCCAGGTGGATCAGCAGGCTGTGCTGGAAATATGCCGGACCGCTAACCTCGAGGTCTCCATGGAGGAGATCCTAGATGGCTGTCATCCAGAGGAAACGCACGACTACTCACAGAATGACACGATAGAGCAGAACAACTCGCCGCAGCCGGTGCACAAGAGCACCGATCACAACTCTTTCAGTTCTGATTCGGATGGACTACTCACTCCTGCCAAGGCAGCAGTTACCATGTTTTTGGAGCAGGAGAGAAATCACCTGCAGTTTTCTTGTGGCATGCATAGTTCGTTTAGAGAACGGTAAACACTCGTTTGTTGATTACAGTTGCTTAAATCAATGCTGTGTTCCTTTATCTTGGTGCTCCAAAAAGCTCTTACTATGTCCAAGTATTGAAGTAATATATTTTATCATGTATGATATGAAGAAAAAAACAGCTTGTTTTCAAATTATAAGCAGCATTAAAAATGAACACATAAGTTATAGTGTATGCTTTGTTATACAAACTATCTTAAATAATAAATGAAAATTAATTCTTTTTAAAATTAGCTAAATAAGATATCACTTGTTATTGGTAAATTAATAATACATTTTTTTATCTTATCTTTTGAGTCTTTGTTTAAGAAATAGGTTGTGATAACTTATGATAATAGAATTGATCAAACATAAAGTAATATAAATTTATATATATTAGTTTAAAAACCTATATTAAATTAATAATAAAAATTGTAATATAGAACTTTAAATTATTTACTTTAAGATTGAACACTCTATAAAGTAATTTATCAAATGGTTATAAATATCAGGTGATAATTGTTGTTATGAACATTTAAAATATTCTAAATTATACATGTTAAATATCAATTTTGAAAATTGATTTGAGTAATAATTAGTATAAGTAACTAAATAAGAATCTGTGTACTATAATATTCCATTTCAAAGACTGTCTTGGATAGGATTGAATGACACTTAATGGATTCAGATAACATTATCAAATGCGTATAGGATATCACAAACAAAAACATCATGAAACTTGATTGCATTCCATCCATACATTGCATACTTATATCTGGGATACAACACTTACAGTGTTATAATTATGACTTTTTTATTTAACTGTAATTTCTTGCTTAATTTAAATTATATTCTTTTTAAAACAAAAACAAGGTATAGACAAACAAATAAGCTTTGCTTAACAATATATTTTTTTCAAATAGATTCAAAAATTGTGAAAACATTAAATTAATTTCTGCTAATAAGGAACTTCATTTTGAATAGAAAAAAATAATATCCTCATATAAATTTTTTTAATAATATATATTTTTTACATATATGTACTTTCTATTTTATTTGATTGCGAAATTGTATCCTTAGAACGGGAACTACCGGAAGCGACTATTCCTTACCAGAAAGACGTGTGGGTTCTCTACAATATAAGAAGCGCATAAGTCATCAAACATCTACGCTTTCGGAAGACATTAAGCATCAATATAACAGTAGCAACGAAAGCATTGGCTCCATACATTCAAAAGCACAATCATCAAAACCAAAGACGAAGGCAGTGAATAACGTGCAAGCTGTTTCTACAAATAGTAGCATAATACCAGAGATTACAAAGGAATTGCGTTTGATGCAACGCCCTGTGAATGGCTGTAAATTTGGGGATGATAGATTGGTTTTGGTATCAAACCAACATGTGCCATTTGTAGTATTTTCTGCTATTCCATATAATAAAGGACAACGTTCCAGTTGGTAAGACTTCTCTCAATATTTACAAAATTATTTGTAACTTATTTGTTCTAAGATATTTTTATTATTATCTATCATTATAGCAATTTTATTGCTATAATGTTAACTTAATGTTAACTTATTTGATACTACTTTTTATATGTTTCAATATAATGATCCGGATTTTAATAAAATTTAAATGCTGTTATTTAGGTCAGAATTACGTAAAGATACATGTCGAAGAAAAAATGTGTCATCTCAAAGACCATTGTCAGCAATTAATGACAGTATTGATCCATTTGGATTGCTGGGTATAGAGCATGCAAAAGACGGCCAAGTATTAAAAATTTTTTTACTTTTCAATACTCTAAAACATTAGAAAATTAATCTATTTATGCTTAATTGATTTTGTAGGAAATATCTTATGGACAATTGCTTGTTCCATCTCGACAATTCCAAAGAGATAAAAAATTGAATCTAAATGAAAACGAACCTATAGAACTTCCACATTTTATACCTAATAAACATCATGTGGTACAAAGGTACAGCAAAACATATTTACTAATTAAATAACTTTCTATATTTCCTTTATACATATTTAACATCACAATCCATATAATTGGATATCCTGTATATATACACATACATGCACATAGACATATATACATATATATACTAATGATATATCCTCTTTAGTTTTTACATATATTTATTTATATACTCTATAAAACTTTTTTATAAGAATTAAAAGAAATCATCAGATAGTCTTCTCTTTCTTCAATATATGAGATGTCTAGTTTTTACTGTAAAATTAAGATTTAATAGCTTTAAATTTGCATAAAATTTTCATTAAAAACAAACACTGAGAAAACTTTATTACTTATTGAAGAATTACTTATTACTTATTACTTATTGAAGAATGTCTTAATGATTATTTGTGATCTATAATTCTATAATTGCAGTATTATCTAGACATCTTTTTAATCTTTCAATATCATAGGTAATGTGTACATGGATTCATATATCATATATTTATTTTTATAACAAAACATATCAACCATCTTTTTGCAGGACAAAAACAATTACTTGGAATGTGGATCACAAAAAATGGTAAAAATTATAGTACAATATATGTGTAATAAAACGTAGAAGTGTTAGATAAATTTAAGATGAACAGTGGGGCTAAGGGTCTACAAGTCTATTTCTTAAAATTTTGTTACAATTCTGCAAAAGATGTGTTGTAAAAATCAGTCATTAGATCATTCATAATCATTTTATAATATACTTAGTAATGATATTGATACTATTCTTCATAAAGAAATAATCATTTATTCCTTTTATTAATATACAAAGAAATTTAATAGACAATATTAAAATTCCATTTGATATAGAACATAAAATTCTAAAGTTTATAACAGAAAGATATAAATTAAAAATATATTTTATTCACATTCTAATCATCTTTAATACATATGTATATATTACATATTAAAATTATATTTATGTACATTTTTATATCATTCATTAAAATGTCTAATAAATGTGTACACATCGCAGAATAATTTCATATTACATTTTCCTTACATATGAAAAAAAAATACTTGCTATTTAAAAATATAGGAATGTAGTTATGTGTTATATGTATTCATATATTTTTATATGTAAATCGTATTTTAAAAATTTTATGCACTTTTTAAAATGTAAAATTTTTCTCATGAAACTTTGATTCAACTTGTTCCTAGCAAGAATAAATCAAGAGATCATTATTATTATTATTATAACTTAAATTTTGAATATTTATATTTATCAAGATAAAATTGAAACAAAAGTTTAACAAGTTTACAATATTCTTTTTCTTATTATTGTGATTTAAAAACTAATATCTCAATATTTAACATTCTTAATATATTTCTTTAAATTCTAATGTCTTAATGAAAAATGCAAAAATTCTGGAGCATATTGTATGCTATTGCATGCTGAAAAATTAAATAATTACATGATAAATTTTACAGTGTTTCTCTTTCATTTTAGGTGTCTTTCCTATGATACAGCTACAAATCGTGCTCATTACATAACTTCCGAATCTCCACCATTGTCTTTTAATACCGACTCCAAAGGTGAGTATAAAAAATTAATTTCTTTAAAAGTTATCAACTGTATAATTAGCTGAGTTTAATTATTTTATTCCATATTATTATAGTTTATGAATGGGATGAACAATCTGCTCAATATAATCCAAATTTACTTGATGATCCAGAACTCATCGCTGGAAAACATAGAACATTACTAACATTTACGTCATATATGGTATACGTTTTAATCTCAATTGTTAAATTAATGATTTTTTAAAAATTTTGATTAATATTTCATAGTTTAATATTTAATATATATCTAGGCATCTGTTATTGATTATGTAAGACCTTCGGATTTGAAGAAAGAATTAAATGATAAATTTAAGGAAAAGTTTCCGCATATTCAACTTACTCTCAGTAAACTGCGCAGGTTGGTCTAATTTATACATAATTTATATACTTGATTCTTGTACTATTATTTTAAAAAGTTCTTCTTTCAGTTTGAAGCGAGAAATGAGAAAAATAGCTAAATTAGAATATGGCATTGACTTACTTACTGTTGCAATGGCCTACGTATATTTTGAAAAACTTATTCTTCGAAACATTGTAACAAAACAGACACGGAAGTTGTGTGCTGGTGCTTGTTTACTTCTTGCAGCAAAATTGAATGATGTGAAAGGCGATATTCTTAAATCCCTCATTGAGGTATCCTTATATTGTGTAATAATAATAATAAAGCTTTTTTTAGCTTTTAGTAACTATCATTATTGTTACAGAGAATTGAGGGTGTATTCCGATTAAATCGCAAGGACTTAATTACTTCTGAGTTTGCCGTATTGGTAGCTTTAGAATTTGGTTTGCATTTGCCAACCTGGGAAATATTTCCTCATTATCAACGACTGATTTATGAATCTTGACATCCTTTGGTATCATTTTTTCCACGCAGTGTCAAATCCTCCTTATAAGAAAATCTCAAAGCGACAAAAGCATATCCGTAATGAGTAATTTTAATGTCTGAAAACTGTATAAATAGGCTTTTGAAAATATTGTATTTATGTATGACATACTTTTTCTTTCCGTTATTAAAATTTCATTTAATATATATGATTTAATTCGATAACTATTTAAAAAATGATTAAAATAATAATGAATATATACTTTTTTTTATTATAATAGGTTTTTTTTGCAAGTTACCAATGTAGTAGTTACTGCATGCATGCTGTGAACATTTATTTTATTATTTGAATAATTTTAATTGTTTAAATGTCAATAAATGTGGATAATGTTAAAAAGAAATTATATTTAACAAACATTATTAAAATATTTGTTTAATGATATGTAAATATTATGGAAAAGGAAGAAATTTGTAAAATATATATAATTCTTAAATTGCTTCTTATAAAAGATGTATCAGCGGTTTTGTGATGAAATTCTTTCTAGATAAGATAAGAATACGTAGAAATATATACAATAGTTTCAAACTTTGTTTTAATGAGAGCACTTTTTTTATATATTTTACTTTTTATATATTTTATTGTTTATGTATCAGAGTATGTATATAGCCATAGTTGTTTTAATTTAATACTGAAAGTAATAAAAAAGAGATACTTAAAACCAGCTATGTAAATAACTCCCGAATGTTTACAAAAAATAGATGGAATGTTTAAATATTTAAATATTTAGAATTTAAATATTTAGAAAAATATCAATATTTTTTTCTTTTTTAAACTAGAATTACTATTTAAAACATTTTTCTTCAATTTTAAGTTGATTAGTCTTTTAAATCTATTGATCCTTCTTTCTGTATATTATCTCCCCCTCCCCCTTCTTCCCCTTCTCACAAAACCGCTGTTTCATTTTGATTGCAGTTTTCCTAAAAAAAATTATTTTTAAGAAATAAAATTGTTACGTTATATTAAATAATCAGTAGACATTTCTTCCAAAAAAATATGAAAAACATAATTGGACATAATACACATGTCAATATGAAAATAATTTTAAAAAATATTCCTAATAAATCTTGATATGAAAAAAAGCTTTTAAAATATGACAACAAAAACAGATTAAAAAATATGTACATCCTTTGAACTAATAGTATCATATTGTTGCTGTAGAAACAGTAGAAACATTTATAATATTGATCACATATTTATTAAGTAAATTTTTATTATATACGCATAGAAATAAAGCCTTTATAAGTATTTACTGAAAATTATTGTATATAAACGTTATGGATTTGATAATTGAATTTCATTAACTTTCTTAGTTTTTTTAAGTTTTTTTATGATTCGTCTCAATAGAATAGATAAAAAGATATGTATGTTTTACGCCTTAACTGCTATTGACAAAACCGTTTTAATAAAAATTATATTTCAGAAGTTTATAATTCACATTAATAATATATTCTTCCGACTTTTATAATATTCATCAATGATCAAGATTATATTACTATTATATTATAATTAATAAAATTATATATCAAGAATATTACAAATCTTAACATAATATGACTATCTTGTTTTAATGTTCTGTTTATTTTGTAATATAAGAGTAAGTTGGTTTTAATTAAGTATATTTATTATGTAAAGTAACATATAACATCTCATATTTTATTTTTTCATTTAACTTTAATTTTTCTGTTTTCGTTTTTATCATTATACATCTTGATTGTAAATAATACAGAAGTTGAATGTAATAAAAATAATCTAAGTGTAGTATTATTAAAAAAAGAACGATATTCTATATTATGTATATTTGATCACTTTATTATATTTAAGCTCAGCCATATATTCTTTTTAGATAATATTAATATATTAGAGATATTTTTCAAATATAAACATATAGATGTATCCCTTATTTTTAGAATGATATTACAAGTATAAGATGCGTCTTTCTGAAATGTACCTTTAATGAAGATTTATTTTCATTATAACAAATTTTCTTCATAAACCGACCAAGTTGAACATGCTTTATTCGTATATAGCTTTATTTATGCTTTATACGAAATATTTTAATTATATACAAATTAGAGACTTATATAAACTACATTTATTTAAATTGAGTTATAAAATATAAGTGTACTCCGTGCTCAATTACATTTATTTATATAGAATTAATACCTCTCGCTCAAGTTTTAGATATATACTAGAAAATATTAATTCTTTATATTTGTTGTTCTTATAGATAATTATATTTCAGTTTCCTAAATAATTATATAACAGGATATATATAAGCATTGTAATACTATTGTGTTGTGTTACATCAGTTTTATTTCTATATGCATTAGTTTTTGTTAATCGTAATATGTTTTTGAAAACGATATTTGTTTATAACATCATAAGAAGGGATGCAAAAATACAAGATACATATTTTAACATGTACATGCATATAT